ATTCTTTCATAGCTCTTCAAGGAATAATCGTGTATCATTACATAATCCATATATTTGGTCAATGTTTCTCAATATCAAAATCGTTAACCCATTTTTAAGATTATTTTGTAGTTTTGGATCTCCGAACATTTAATTTCATTTAAAATTTAATTATTATTTAATTATCATCAATAATTACATCTGAATCGGCCTGACATGAAGAATCAAAACTCAGGCACACCATTTCATATTAGGGAATGAGGGATATAACAAATTCATTTACCATTTCTACAACCTCAAGCATGGTCCAGTAGTGCCCTATCATAAAAAATGAATAAATTTTCATACTCTCCAATAGGTTCGATTAGGATAAGTGAAGTCCATTATACTCTTCACAAAATAACTTGTGTCTAGAATTAATAATTTATGCGGAATTTTAAGGTCAGTTGTTTCATCAATCACTTGTCTAATTTTTTCATCTCTAACTTTAATTATCCAATCAGAAAAAATTTGTGTGTCCCTATTTGGAATAGAGGACGTAGAAGAATGCAATATCATATTCTTCACTAACATATAAATTTTAAAATACGACCATTAATTAGTGCACATGTGGCATGCCACATGTCAACACCACAACCAACACCCTCAACTTTACATATATATATATATATATATATATATATATATATATATATATATATATATATATATATATATGATGGCTCAGAGTTGTGCTTAAAGGGAGGAATTGTTTTGGAGCTATCCAAAAGATTTATAGTATCTTTGCACATTAATTATTCGGTGGCAAATTTTGAAAATAATATTAAAGGTTGGAGTCTTAAGCCATCATCACAAAGTCGTTGAGAAAGTTGTGTTGAGAGTATTAAGGCAATTAGAATGCAACTTACCGATGTACAAGAAGTTTTACTTGAAGTTGAAGAACAAGATAGTGATAAAGCAATTGTTCATGCAACAAAGTCACTGGCAGAAAATCTTAGTGAATTGAGTGTTTGGTATCAATTGCTATTTGGTATCAAATATTAAATCAGGTAAATATAGTGAACAAGAAGTTACAATCAAATGTATCTTAATATTGTTATTAAAGAGATAAATAGATTGATTGGGTACTTTAAGGATTATAGAGAAACTGGTTATTCAAAGGCAATTGATGAAGCAAATGAGATAGCTTCTGAAATGGATATAGCTCTAATATTTTTTAGAAAAGCGTTTGATTCGAAGGAAAAAAGGAGTTGATGAGAGTTCAAGTAGTGAAGAAGTTTCATTTACAGCTGAAGATAATTTTATAGTCAATTTCTTCTCTTATATTGTAGATAAAGCCATATCTTTTCTTGAGATGAGATTTGAACAATTCAAAGAGTGCGGGAGATTATTTGGGTTTTTGTTTCCACTTAAGTTGAGCGGAATTGAAGGAAAAGAGCTTAAGTTTTCTTGCCATCAACTTGCAAACACTACTACAGAAGGGACTTTACACAACAGATGAATTAGACTTTACACAGCGAATAACAAGTGCTATATATGCATCTGATGGGAAAAGTAATCACTTTACACAATGTTATATATTTTAGTGTAATTGGAAAAACCATGACCAATGGTATCCTAATAATCATCAACGAAGTTTGGTGGTGCGGAGTACACGTTTCATTGAGTTTGTTACGATAAAAATCCCGTTACATCGGGGGTTCGGGGGCAGCGCCCCCGAGCAGGGTTCAAGGGGCGGCACCGTTTTTTGGAGAACTTCCGCGCGAAGGATCGCGTAACTTGGGAAAGAGACGCGATAGGCGTCTTCTCCCTCTACCGCAAGTTTATAAATTCCCGCGGGCCTTGGTCGGATTTCAGTTCGGATTTTTCAGAGCAATCCTCATATTTCGTTCTTGATACTTTCGAGTTTTATCCGATTGAATTTTGGAGTGAACAACCAAAATATTCAATCTGAAAGTGTTTACACAACTCTCGATTCATCCAAGTTATCATTAATTTTCCCAACAAAGATTGAATATTTTTGTTGAAGATGACGAACGGTGAATCGACGAAGGACAGAACGAGCAACTTCGCTAAACTGGAAGGCTTCCAAGGACAGGATTTTCGAAGATGGCAGAAGAAGATGCAGATCTTGTTGACGACTCTAAAAGTTGTGTATGTGCTGAGTACTCCCAAACCAGAAGAGCGCGAGGACGAAACCATTGAACATGCCAGAAGGCGCTGCAAGTGGGAGAATGACAACATTCTCTGCATAGGCCACATTCTAAACGGTTTGTCTGATCCCCTCTTCGATATTTATCAGAATGTTGAATCTGCAAAGGAATTGTGGGATTCTCTTGAATCCAAATACATGGTAGAAGATGCATCAAGTAAGAAATTTCTTGTTAGCGACTTTAATAATTATAAGATGGTTGATTCGAGGTCGGTTATGGAACAATATCATGAACTTGTGCGTATGTTGGGACAATTTAATTTACATGGTATGAAACAGGATGAATGTATTTCTGTTTCGAATGTAATTGATAAGTTGCCACCGTCTTGGAAAGACTATAAACGTGAATTGAAACACAACAAAGATGATTTGTCTTTGGTTCAATTGGGCACTCATCTTCGGATTGAAGAATCAGTGAGGGCTCGAGAAAGCAACAAATCCAAGGACGTTGCTGGACCATCATATGTTAATATGGTGGATGATGGTGGTTCCAAGGGAAAGCATAAGTCTGGAAAAAGGAAGAAAAACAAGCCCGACAAGAACACCGCCAACAAGAAATAAAAGGTGGCGTGTTGGACGTGTGGTAAACCCGGGCATTTCAAGAGAGATTGCAGGGTTGGGAAAGGAAAACAAGAAGCCGGTCCAAGTGGGTCTAAGGACCCAAATATGCAACAAGGTCAGAATTTTGAAAACATTGATAATTCGGTTCAAAATTATGTATCACTATTACCCGAGGCATTTTATATGCAGGATGATGATGTTGCATGGTGGGTAGATTCGGGAGCAACATCCCATGTGTGCAAGGCTCAACGTTGGTTCACATCTTTGAGGCCAATTGAAGATGGCTCAACATTGCGCATGGGGAATGTGTCTACCGAACCCATCAAAGGAATTGGAATTGTTAGGCTTATGTTTACTTCTGGAAAGTCAATAACATTAAATAATGTATTATTTGTTCCTGGTATTCGTAAAAACTTAGTGTCTGGTATTCTATTAAATAATTGTGGTTATAAACAAGTCATAGAGTCCGATAAATATGTATTATCTAAACATGGTTCGTTTATTGGATTTGGATATTTGAATGGTATGTTCAAGTTAAATTTAGATATATCTTATCTCAATGAATCTATATGTATGGCTTCTACTAGTTCTAGCATTATTTCAAATAAATCTGAATTGTGGCATGCTAGACTAGGACATGTTCATTACAAGAGATTAAAAGATATCTCTAAAATGAGTTTAATACCTGCGTTTGATTTGAACATTGAGAAGTGTAAAACTTGTATGCTCACTAAGATAATGAGACAACCATTCAAAGAAGTTTGTAGGGAAAGTAAAATTTTGGATCTTATTCATAGTGATTTATGTGACTTACATAGTACCCCTTCTTTTGGAAATAAAAAATATGTAGTCACTTTCATAGATGATGCATCCAGATTTTGCTTTGTTTATTTGTTACATGCAAAAGAAGAAGCTCTTGATAAATTTAAAATTTATAAGCAAGAGGTAGAGTTACACCAAAGTAACTTGATTAAAATTCTTCGAATGGATAGGGGAGGCGAGTATTATGATCCAGTATATTTTCAAAGTACTGGTATAATACATCAAACAACTGCCCCTTATACACCACAACAAAATGGTGTTGCAGAAAGGAAGAATAGGACTTTAAAAGAAATGGTTAATTCCATGTTATCCTATTCGGGCTTAAGCGAAGGATTTTGGGGTGAGGCTATGTTAACGGCATGTTACCTGTTGAATAGAGTTCCTAATAAAAAAGATGAAAACAACCCCGTATGAACTCCGGTACAAAAAACCACCAAACTTAAGTTATCTTAAAGTTTGGGGGTGTAGGGCCGTTGTTAGACTTACGGAACCAAAGAGGAAAACTTTGGGTGAAAAAGGCATAGATTGCACCTTCATTGGATATGCTATGCATTCCCAGGCATATAGGTTCTATGTTATAGAACCTAATGACTTTGTATCTGTAAACACAGTTATAGAGTCAAGAGATGCGATTTTTGATGAAGAAAGATTTACTTCTATATCCAGACCAAAGGATATGACCCCTACTTCAAAGGTCTCTCAAACTGTGCCTTCCATAAATGTTGAAGTAAGGAAAAGTACAAGAAGAAGAAAACCAAAATCCTTTGGTGATGATTTTCAACTCTACTTGATGGAACGAACAAGAGATGAGATTGAATTTCAATATCAATATTGTTTCAATATTGAGGAAGATCCTAAGACATTTAATGAAGCTATGGCTTCAAGGGATGTTGCATTTTGGAAGGAAGCAATTCAAGATGAAATTGACTCTATTATGCAAAACAATACATGGAAATTGACTGATTTACCTCCCGGGTGCAAACCTCTAGGACGTAAATGGATCTTCAAAAAGAAAATGAAGGTTGATAGAAGCATAGATAAGTTCAAAGCGAGATTGGTCATCCAAGGCTTTAGACAAAAAGAAGGCATTGATTTCTTTGATACCTATGCACCTGTTGTTAGAATTTATACAATTAGATTGTTATTAGCCCTTGCGGCTATACACAATTTAGTAATTCACCAAATGGATGTAAAAACTGCATTCTTGAATGGTGAGTTGGATGAAAAGATATATATGAAACAACCTGAAGGTTTTGTCATGCCTGGGAATGAAAATAAGGTTTATAAGTTGGTGAAATCTCTTTATGGTCTAAAGCAAGCACCAAAACAATGGCATCAAAAATTTGATGACGTTGTTTTGTCGAATGGTTTTAAATTAAACCAAGCAGATAAGTGTGTATATAGCAGATTTGATGCTTCTGGACAAGGAGTTATAACACCAAGGAATTTTTGTCATCTAGGTTTGCCATGAAAGACATGGGGGAGGCTGAAGTGATTCTTGGTTTAAGGATCAAGCGTAAGAATAATGAAATTTCTATTTCTCAATTACATTATATTGAGAAGATTTTGAAGAAGTTTAACTTCAAAGATTGTTCTCCGGTCAGTACTCCTATTGATCCAAGTCTAAAGCTCTTCCCTAATAAAGGTGTTGCAGTATCTCAACTAGAATACTCACGAGCTATTGGATGTTTGATGTATGCTATGATTAGTACTAGGCCAGACATAGCATATGCGGTTGGGAAACTTAGTAGGTATACTAGCAATCCTAGTTCGCATCACTGGCAAGCGATTAACCGAGTATTTAAATACTTAAAGGGAACCATGAATTATGGATTAACTTACACCGACTTTCCTTCAGTTTTGGAAGGATACTCGGATGCAAGTTGGATAACTAATATGGAAGATCACTCTTCCACGAGTGGATGGATATTCCTTCTCGGTGGAGGAGCAATTGGTTGGGCATCAAAGAAACAAACTTGCATAACTAACTCTACAATGGAGTCTGAGTTTGTGGCTTTGGCGGCAGCCGGTAAAGAAG